TGTTATGTGTATTTTACCACAATTTAAAGATTTTTTAAAGTAAGAAAAAAAGGTAAGGCGGCCAGCCTGGTGGCATAGCGGTTAAGTTTGTGTGCTCCGCTTTGGCGGCCCAGGGTTCACAGGTTCGGATCCCGGACGCAGACCAATGCACTGCTTGTCAAGCCATGCTGTGGCGGCATCCTATATAGAGGAAGATGGGCACAGATGTTAGCCCAGAGCCAATCTTCCTCATCAAAAAGAGGAGGATTGGCATCAGATGTTAGCTCAGAGCTAATCTTCCTCATACAAAAAAGTAAGTCCACTAAGTACCCAGGCTTTCTGAAAAGCAGTTGCAGAAGGACTAAAAAAACTAAAAAAGTACATGAAATGTAGTATTTTAAATATGCAGTTGGAGAACAGAATAAAGTAAATGGGCATTTACTGAGTCCCAATACAGCTCACCACTATTAGATCCTTTTACACATGTTGTATTAAATTCTCACAATGAACCTGAAAGTAGATATTCTAGTCCTGATTTTGAGAAGCAAGTCCTGAAAAAAAATTGGGTATAGAAAGAATAAATGTGTTGTCTAAGGTATCACAGCTGATAAGCAGCCTAGGGAAATAGGGTTGCCTATTACTGGAAAATAAAAGAGTCATTACAATGAAAGTTTATAGAATAAAGGGAAGAACTATTCTTTACCTTCCCCACTCTATTTTCACTTTTCTTTCTCATTTACTGAGTCCGAAGAAGAAATTTAAAAACTAAGTTAGTCTAGCATTTATGGAGGAACTCACAGGGAAAAGCTTTGAGAGTTTAACTTAATTAGCACAAAATTTTGGAACTGGAAGTAATATTAAGTTACCCGACAGAAAACAGTGCCCTGAAAAAGGACTCACAAGCCTGAACATGTACAAAATGACCCTCGGGGGAGGGGAACAAAATAAGGTTGGGAGCCGTGCACATTTTTCACATGTCTGTGTGTAAGTTTCCTTTTGATATAAAAGTGTGTCAGTCAGAATACCAGATTCAGTTGAACTTTTGCCACTTAGTAAAATACTTTTTATAAAATTTAACCAAGGAATTTGTATCAGTCAAGGTCATAGCAGGAAACAGATGGCACACTCAAACTGAGCAATTTGAAGAAAGTTTAATAAGGGGCTGTTTATGAGGGTGTGGGCAGGGCGTAAGGAAACCACAAGGGTTAGTGCAGTACTTTGAGGCTAGAGACCTTGGGACTTAACCACTCCAAGACCTATATGGACAAATGGAGTGAGCCATTACTGAAATGCAGAGAGAGCGGGCTACCTGGCTGATACTTTGTCCTTTGGCCACGGGGACGCAGCCAGCTTGCAGTGACCCAGCAGGAAGAAAGTCCAGAAATTACATACTCCCAATCCCACTCTCCTCTATTCCTCCTTCTGTTTTCCTGCCAGTGCTCCCATCAGCCAAACCTTACTTTAAGCCTCTTATGGCACAGAGCAAGGTGGAAAAGAAGGGAGAGTGCATTTGGAGGGGCAAAGAGAAGGTATCCAGCATAGAGACTGAGTAATATTTTACAGTTTATGTGTGAAAATAAGTTTAAGGAAGAACTAACAACTAGAGCAAGTCCTCTGTTGCTTTTTTAATAAAAATGTACTAGACAAGATACTCCTAAGTTTTGGGGAACGTTGTATTAGACAGGTTTTGCTGAAATAATGCAGCATTACAGACAATCCCAAAATCTCAGTGGCTTCCAATAATAAACATTTATTTTTCACTCTCAGGTCTATGGGTCAGTTCCGGTTCAGATACATTTGACTAAGTTAGCTGGACGTGGCTCCAGGCTAGAGGTTGGGATCAGAAGTGCTTCAAGTATCTTCTCATTCTAGAACTCGGGCTAAATGATTAATGATCACCTAGAGTATGGCAAACAGTAGGAGCACAAGTGGAAAAACAGAAACCATAACATCTCTTAAACTAGTACTTGGAACTGGCATGCTGTCACTTCTACTATGTTGAATCTGCCAGTGGAAGACTTTTGACCAAGCCCGATGTCAATGGAGTGGGAAAGTCAGTAGATGGAGAGGGGTAGAGTGAATATTTTCTAAACAATATCAATCTATTATACTTAGTAAAACTGCCTCTGAAAATATACTTTACATAGGACTCAGGCATTGTGACTTTAAAAGATTTTACCCCATTAACTGCTTTTATGTATATACTTTTTTTCTTATTTAAAGTATCCTTTGACTGTGATTATACAGTCCCTGCTAATCACATTTACCTTCTACATTACCATAAGGAGCTATAAAGGTAAACACTATTAACAGAAGTATCAGCCTGAAAGCATATTATATGTACCTTCATGATTAGGTATAGGCCCCTGGCTAAAGCTTCTAGAGAAGATGAAAAGCACTGAAAACCTATACATCATAGCCTGGTAACTTAGTATTTCAGAGCTACTGCAGACCCCTATCTAATCAGCAGAATAGATCAATTTTTAAAATATATTAAGGATGATTATTAAAGATTTTTATGGTCAATGTTTCCTTGCTGCACATCTATGGTTCCAATGGTTTTTTTCCATCTTTATTGAGATATAATTGACATACGACATTGTATAAATTTAAGGTGTACAAACTGTTGAATTCATACACTTACATATTCCCATACGGTTACCACCATAGCCTTAGCTAACTGCTCCATCATGTCACATAATTACCATTTCTTTTTTGTGGTGAAAACATTTAAGATTACTCTCTTAAAAACTTTCAAGTATTGGGCCGGCCCCATGGCTTAGCGATTAAGTGTGTGCGCTCCGCTGCTGGTGGCCCAGGTTCAGATCCCGGGCGAGCAAGGACGCACCGCTTCTCCAGCCATGCTGAGGCTGTGTCCCACATACAGCAACTAGAAGGATGTGCAGCTATGACATACAACTATCTACTGGGACTTTGGGGGAAAAACTTAAATAAATAAAATTTAAAAAAAAGACTTTCAAGTATATAATACAGTATTATTAACTATAATCACAAATGTCATGCATTAGAGCCTCAGAACTTATTCATCTTTAACTGAAAGTTTGTACTCTTTATCCAACATCTCCCCATTTCTCCCACTGCTCAGCCCCTGGTAACTACCCTCCTACTCTCTGTTTCTATGAGTTTGTTTTTTTAGATTCCACATATAAGTGATATCATCCAGTATTTGTCTTTCTCTGTTTGACATTTAACTTAAGATAATGCCCTTAAGGCCCATTCATGTTGTTGCAAATGGCAGAATTTTCTTCTTTTTCATGGCTGAATAACATTCCTTATATATAACCATATCTTCCTTATCCATTCATTCTTTGACAGACACTTAGGTTATTTTCATATTTGGCTACTGTAAGTAATGCTGCAATAAACATGGGAGTGCAGATATCTCATTAATATCTTTTTTTCATTTCATTTGAATATATACCCAGAAGTGGGATTGGTGGATCATATGGTAGTTCTGTTTTTAATTTTTTGAGGCTGTACCCAATTTACATTCCCACCAACAGTGCACAAGGCTTCCCTTTTCTCCACATCCTCACCAACATTTGTTATCTTTTGTCTTTTTCATGATAGCCATTCTAATAGGTGTGAGGTGATATCTCATTGTGGGTTTTGATTTGCATTTCCCTATAACTAGTGATGTTGAGCATCTTTTCATGTACCTGTTGGCTATTCATATGTCTTCTTTGGAAAAATTTCTATTCAGTTCCTCAGCCCATTTTTTTAATAGGGTTGTTTGGTTTTTTTCTATTGAGTTTTATGAGTTCCTTACATATATTTTGGATATTAACCCCTCATCAGATATATAGTTTGCAAATATTTTCTCCCATTCTATAGGCTGCCTTTTCATTTTGTTGATTGTTTATTTTGCTGTACAGAAGCTTTTTAATTCGATGTAGTCCTACTCATTTATTTTCGCCTTTGTTGTTTGAGCTTTTGGTGTCATATCCTAAAAATTGATGCCAAGACCAATGTCAAGGAGATTTTCCCTGTTTTCTTCTAGAAGTTTTACAGTTTCAGGTCTTATGTTTAAGTCTTTAACCCATTTCAAGTTAATTTTTGTGAGGGATGTAAGATAGACTCCAACTTCATTTTTTTGCAACAATTATCCAGTTTTCCCAATACCATTTTTTGAAGAGACTATCCTTTTCATAGAGTGTTCTTGGCTCCCTTGTCAAATATTCGTTGACTGTATATGCACAGGTTTACTTCTGAGCTCTCAGTTCTGTTCCATTGGTGTATGTGTCTATAGGCACACTTGGTTTTATTGTGTTTCACTTTATTGTACTTCATAGATGTTATTTTTTACAAGAACCTCCACCATGAAAAAGATTACAACTCACTGAAGGCTCAGGTGATAGCACTTTTTAACAACAAAGTATTGTTTTTGTTTTGTTTTTTTGGTGAGGAATATTAGCCCCGTGTTAACATCTGTTGCCAATCTTCCTCTTTTTTTGCTTGAGGAAGATTAGCCCTGAGTTAACATCTGCTGCCAATCTTCCTCTTTTTTCGCTTGAGGAAGATTAGCCCTGAGCTAACATCTGTGCCAATCTCCCTCTATTTTGTATGTGGGTCACCACCACAGCATGGCTGACAAGTGGTATATGTCTGTGCCCAGGACCAAACCAGTGAACCTGGGCTGCCAAAGTAGAGCACAGCAGACTTAACCATTATACCACAGGGCCGGCCCCTCAATAAAGTATTTTTTAATTAAGGTAGGTACATTATTTTTTTAGACATAATGCTATTGTACACTTAATAGACTACAGTATAGTGTAAACATAACTTTTATATGCACTGGGAAACCAAATAATTTCTGTGATTCAATTTATTGCAATATTTTCTTTATTTTAGTGGTCTGAAATAGAACCCGCAATATCTCTGAGGTATTTTTATGTCAGTACCATACTGCTTTGATTACTATAGCTTTGTAGTATAGTTTGCAATCAGGAAGTGTGATGCCTCCAGCTTTGTTCTTCTTTCTCGGGATTGCCTTGGCTACTCAAGGTCTTTTGTGGTTCCGTATAAATTTTATGATTGTTTTTTATATTTCTATGAGAAATGCCATTGCAATTTTGATAGCGAGTGCATTGAATCTGAGGATGGCTTTGGTTAGTATGGACATTTTAACAATATTAATTCTTCTGATCCATGAACACCAGATAGCTTTGCGTTTGTTTGTATCTTTGGTTTCTTTCATCAGGGTCGTGTAGTTTTCAGTGTACAGATCTTTCACCTCCTTGGTTAAATAGCTTCCTAAATATTTTATTGTTTTTGGTATTATTATAAGTGGGGTTGTTTTCTTTATATTTTTCCAGATATTTCATTGTTAGTTAATAGAAATGCAACTGATTTCTATATGTTGATTTTGTCTCCTGCAAGTTTACTGAATGTGTTTATTAGTTCTAACAGTTTTTGGTGGAAACTTTAGGATTTTCTATATATAACATCATGTCATCTGCAAACAAAGACAGTTTCATTTCTTCCTTTCCAATTTGGGTGCGTTAGGTACCTTTTCTTTCTTTTTTCTTTTTTTTTCTTTTTTTGCCTGATTGCTTTGGCTAAGATTCCTGATAGTACGTCGAATAAGAGCGGTTAACGCGGGCACGCTTGTCACGTTTCTGATCTTAGAGGAAAAGCTTTCAGGCCTCCACCACGGAGTGTGATCTGGCTGTGGGCTTGTCCCGTATGGCCTTTGCTGTGGGGCGTGTTCCTCCTGTACCTGATTTGTTGAGGCTTCTATCATGAAAGAATCCTGTATTCTTTTGTATTTTGTCCATTGCTTTTTCTGCATCTATTGAGATGATCACATGGTTTTTACCTTTCTATTAATGTGATATATCACGCTGTTTGACTTGTGTGTGTCAAACCATCCTTGCATCCCAGGGATAACTCCTGCTTGATATGGTGTGTGATCCTTTCAGTGTGCTGTTGAATTCAGTTGCTAGTATTTTGTTGAGAATTTTTGTATCCATGTTCATCAGAGGTATTGGTCTGCAGTTTTCTCTTACTGTAATGTCCTTATCTGGCTTTGGTATCAGAGTAATGCTGGCCTTGTACAATAATTTTGGAAGTGTTCCCTCCTCTTCAATATTTTGGAAGAGTTTAAGGAATATTAGTGTTAATTCTTCTTTAAATGTTTGGTAGAATTCACCAATGAAATCATCCAGTCCTGGGCTTTTATTTGTTGAGAGGTTTTTGATTACTTACTGATCAATGTCCTTACTCATTATTAGTCAGTTCATATTTTCTATTTCTTCATGATTCAGTCTTATAAGTTGAATGTTTCTAAGAATTTTTCCATTTCTTGTAAGTTATCCAATTTATTGGCATATAATTGTTCTTGGTAGTCCCTTATGATCCTATGTATTTCATAGTAGTCTCTTATGATTTCTATGTATTTCAGTTGTAATATTTCTTCTTTAATTTCTTATTTTATTTGATTCTTCTCTCTTTTTATCTTAGTTACTCTAGCTAAAGGTTTTCAATTTTGTTTATCTTTTTTTAAAAAATGGCTCTTAGTTTTGTTGATCTTTTCTATTCTCTTTCTAGTCTCTATTTCACTTATTTCTGCTCTGATCTTTGTTATTTCTTTCCATCTGCTAACTTTGGGCTTAGTTTGTTCTTCTTTTTCTAGCTCCTTGAGGGGTAGTTAGGTTGTTTCCACATGATAAAGAGAAGGGAATCAGAGCATTCCACCACAGAAAATCACCAATTCACAAAGGAAGGCAGCAAGAGAGGAAAAAAGGAACAAAGAAACTATAAAAAAAAGTCAGAAAAAAATAAGATAGGATTATTACGTCCTTACAGATCAATAATTACTCTAAATGTAATGCATTGAATTCTTCAGTCGAAAAGCACAGAGTGGCTGGATGAATTTAAAAAAATAAGACCCAACTATATTTTGCCTACGAGAGACTCATTTCAGCTTGAGGGAGTACATAGGCTCAAAGTGGAAGGATGGAACAAAATATTCCATACAAGTAAAAACCACAAGAGAGCAGGGATAACTATACTTATATCAAACAAAGTAGACATTAAGCCAAAAACAGTAACAAGAGACAAAGAAGGTCATTATATAATGATAAATGGGCCAACTCATCAAGAATATATAACAATCATAAATATATACGCACCCAACATTGGACCACCTAAATATATTAATCAAATACTAAAGATCTGAAGGGGAAAATACACAATACAATAATAGTAGGGTACTTCAATACCCTACTCTCAGCAATGGATAGATCATCCAGACAGAAAATTAACAAAGAAATGTTAGACTTGAACCATACTCTAGACCAAATGGACCTAACAGACCTGTATAGGACATTCCATCCAATAGTCTCAAGTGCACATTCTTCTCGAGCACCATGAAACATTCTCCAAGATAGATCACATGATAGGTCTCATAACAAGCCTTAGCAAATTAAAGAAGATTGAAATCATACCAAGTATCTTTTCTGACCACAATGGTGTGAAACTAGAACTCAGCAATAGGAAAGTTGGAAAATTCACAAACATGTGGAAATTAAACAACACACTCTTGAACAACCAATGGGCATAGAAGAAATCAAAAGGGAAATCAAAAAATATCTCAAAACAAATGAAAATGGAAATATAACATACCAAAACTTATACGATGCAGCAAAAGCAATTCTAAGAGGGAAGTTTGTAGCAATAAATGCCTATGTTAAGAAAAAAGAAAGATCTCAAATAAACAACTTAGCTTTACACCTCAAGGAACTACAATATTTTTACCTACTAATCGCTGTACTATGCAAGAAAGAAGGAAGATCACAAAAATATTAGAAAGGATTTAAGCAGTTATATAGGTAAACTTGCAATCCTGTTTAGGGATTTTTTTCTCCAGTGTGCCTGACAAAGGGTCGTGCCACCTCTGATTAAATAGCTCTGGTGACAGACAATCACCATCTAATGAGATAGTCTTTTGGACACTCTATTTGATGGAATGTTTTGGTTGGTGGTTTTGTTTTTTTAATTAATCCAAAACCTTTCTTTCTTCAGCTTCCTCTAGTTGTTCCTGGTTTTGTCTTTTGGAGTAAAGCAAATGTAATCCCTCTTCTGTTATGACAGCTGCTCAATACTTGGAAACAGCTGTAACATGTGCTACTCTCCCTCCCTGATCCCGTCTTACTCCACCAGCACTATAGTCTCTTCTCAAGACGAGGGCTCTTTCCAGAAGTCCTCCTATGTCGGCATCTCCAGAACTCTTCTCATCCTGAGTACAATCTTTTGGATTCAGTTGAGGAAAAGAGATTCAAGGGAAATTTAATTCCAGATTTTAAATATTAAGTTGATTCACAATGACTGTGCTTTCCCCAAACATCCACTCTAAAAGAAAACTTTCATTATATTCTTTCAGGTTACCTTGTTCTATTCCTTCATAGCATTTATCATATATAATTTACACTTATACATTTAATTAACTTATATATTTAATTTAATTCATATTACATTTTTAAATCATTAAGTGCTTATTTAATAACTTAATCATACCTATAATAATATCTTTCTCTCCCACTGGTCTGTAAGTTCTATGAGGCAGAGACTGTGTCTACTTTGCTCACCACCTTATTTCTCACTCTCAGCCTAGTGCCTGACATACAGTAGGTGTTAATAAGTCTTTATTTTTATTTTCAGCTTGTGAATAAATGAAATTCAAATTATGAACATAATTAAAGAAAGCAGAGTGGGATTGTCTTCCTATGTAGAAAAAGTTTCCTGGAAGAATGAGGTTTAAGGTGAATTTTGAAGAAGACAAGGGTCCTGGATTGATGGAGAAAAGCAGGGAAAAACACTCCAGCCACATAGCACATTTTCTAGTGTGGTGGAGACTGGTGGCTCCATCTCCCTTCTTCTTGGACGTGTGGTTAGGCTACATTTCCAAGCCTCCCTTTGGGTTAGGGAATTCCCTTGCTGGTGACTAAGTTCTCACCAATGGAATATGAACGTAAGTGATGGCTACCCTTCCGAGTTTCTGTCTTAGAAGTGGTTGTATTTCCTCTTTGCTCTTTTTTCTCTTCCCACTGAGGGGAACCCAGACAGGGCTGTGACCCAGCCTTAACAATACAGGTAATAGCAAGGCCACAGTGGCCTATGCTCTACTGGTGGTGGAGCTACAAGTTAGAGGAGCTGCCCAGAGCAGAGCTGTCCCCCTCAAGCGGACTATGCATCTGGGATTATTATGTGGAAATAAACTTTTTTTCTCTATAGACTACATTGTCACTGGGTCTCTTCTTGTAACAACTTACCCTTTGCCCTAACTAAGACATCTGTCATTTAGAAAACGCGCAATCAATACTTATTAAATTCACAGTATAGGGGCGGCCCGGTGTCACAAGTGGTTAAGTGCGCGCACTCTGCTGCAGCAGCCCGGGGTTCGCCGGTTCGGATCCCAAGCGCGCACCGACGCACTGCTTGGAAGCCATGCTGTGGTGTTGTCCCATATAAAGCGGAAGAAGATGGGCACGGATGTTAGCCCAGGGCCGGTCTTCCTCAGCAAAAAAAGAGGAGGATTGGCAGATGTTAGCACAGGGCTGATCTCCTCACAAAAAAAAAGAGAGCGAAATTGATAGTGGTAATCAATTTTGGAAAGTATTTGAGATTATTATAAAGTATAAATTATAATATATTATTAAACTCCCGTGTACCTGCCCCTCAAAAAGACTAAATGTTAGGATTTTTGGTATTTACTTCAGATTTTTTCTTTTTTTTTAAAGAAATAGCACCTTATAAGTGAAATTACAATTCCCTATAATTACCCTCCCTGCAGGAGATTTTTCGACATGCCTCTGTAAATATAGCACCTACAGCTGAAATCCAAATAAGGCCTTATCAGGAGAGTGAGTAGAGTCTGTTACTCACTGAAATCTGAACGTACAGTTATATTAACAGAGCCCAAGATTGAATTCCTTATTTAATAACTGCTTAACACTATTTGCTCATATTAAACTTGAAATTTGCTAAAATTGCTTAGCCATCTCTTACATCAATCTCTACCACCAGTTCTCCCCTTTCTGCTAACAAAACTTGTGAAATTGACTACTGACACAAGTGCACCGCCCAACATTTGCTACCTGCAATCGTTATCCCGTTGATTTTGGTCTATTGATAACAGAGCGTGACTTTTCTTCTGGTGAATTTTTGGCATCTAATGGCAGACGTTGCCCACTGATGAGCACTGAAAAATTCCAGGTGGATCCTAGCACTTCCAATATCCTGCATTAGAGTGATCACTGGGTCCTGTCCCCAAACCAGTCAATACGTCAGCTGGGGCAGGATGCCTGGTGAAAGCAGGGCCCTGTTTTAGCTTTTTTGTTTTGTTTGTTTTGTTTTTTATCTGAAGAAGCTTCACTTAAAAGTTGCTAGACGTTTTCTGCCACAACCAGTAGCAACATCAATTATCCCTTGGAACAGATTTCCTTTGTTTTGGAAAAATTGCATGAAGGAACCCTTCAGTTATATTCCCCCAATTGTTCTGTGGATTGTTCTGTGGCAGCAAGGAACAAGAGTTCTGCTTTGTTTTGCTTTTGTTTGCTTACAGGGGCAGAATCAGTGAAATTGGTCAGTGCTGAGAGAATTCTAGGTGGTATTATTGAATGAGAAAAGTAAGATGCACAGAGGTGTGTATAATATGATTCCATTTATGTAAAACAAATGAAATGAAAACATATATGTGTATAAATATGTTTATAAATGACTGTGAATACAGAAAAAATACATTAGGCTATACACTAGACTGTGAACATAGGGTGGTCTTCTGGCATAAGACAAAAGCAAGAACAGGGAAGGCAGATGAAAATGGAAAAAGACATTTTTTAAAAGACGAAGAACACTAAAAAGCAATACTACCCATGCGATATGAGTGGAAGATTGAACTTTGCTAACCTAGTTGCGTGGGGGCTCAAAGTCATTATATTTCGAATATAAAAGGAATGAGATCTCATTTTGTAGTCAAGGCTTGTGAGTTTGGGGACATCTGTGCTGTAACACGAATATCAAAAAATACAAAAAAATCACCATATGTAAACTAGGAGAAAGGTGAAGGTAAAACCCTCTATGATAAAAGCAAGTGCAAATTATCTCAGGTGTTTCTGTTAATAGATTTTAAAAATGCAGTTAGGGAGGGAACGGTTAGTAGTGTTTCATCCTTAAGAATAAAGAAAAGAAATGCAAACCAAAGCAGAGTGGACTCCAGATGGTGGAATAAAGTAGGTAGCCTGTAATAGCTTCCCTCAGCTATGACTTGAGACTTCTCCTCCCCAGGTATTAGTGTAACAACTTTACAGATGTTGAAGCTGAGTCTTGGAAAGTTTCAACAGCTTTCCTGAGATTACTGTGCCTGAATTTGAGCCTGTTTACATAATTCCAAAAACCGTGTACTTCTCACTAGAGAGTGATACATCTGTGCTACATTTGGAATCCATTCAGGAATGTGGCATTCATATCTGCATTAGTCCTGGCAGTCTATATTACATTCCATAGTAGTGTCACCTAGTTTCTCTCTCCTTTTGTACTAATTCAAATGTTCTCTGTGTTTCCGTGCTCCAGTTCATAGATCCTCAATTATATCTTCTCTTTGGGCTCTACAAACCTACTCAATCTGCACATACCTCCATCTCTCTGACCTCCTCTCCTTTCTTACTCCACTCCAACCACTCTGGTCTCCTTGTTGTTCCTCAAACACAATAAGCATGTTACTGCCCTAGGGCCTTTGCACTTGCTATTTCCTCTACCCGGAATATTCTTCCATCAGATATCCACTTGCCTTTGCTCTCCTCCTCAGTGAACCCTTTCTAGACCAACTTACTTAAAATTACAATCTCTGTGGCTAATCTGACTCTTTCTAACTCCATCTCCTGTTTTATTTTTTTCTATCATACAATCATTTAATAAGTTTTATATTTTACTTATTTATTTTGTTTGGTTCCTACCACAAGAATGTCAGCTTCATAAGTGTCCTGAGCATCTGAAACAGTACCCGGGACACAGTGTGTGGAACAAATGAAGAAATACATTGATAGACTCCTTTCCAAGCTTCAGATCTGAGAGTATGGTATTCATAATGTATGTCTTTTAATTACTACATTCTGGTCATGCGTCTCACCCTACCATTTCTATGATTACTAGAGATAAAAACAGGAGGGAAAGTTTACTCTCTTTAGATGAGAAAAAGGAATCAATAACATTGTTGAAGAAATCGTAATTGTATAACTTGAAAATATAATTTTAATCTATGCTCATACTTTACACAAAAATGAATCCAGGTAGATTATATACATAACATATTTTTAAATGGTGAAAAGCCACAGAAATAGAAATTTATTTTGTCACTATAGGGGCAATAAACAATGTCTATATTGCAAAAAGGAATCAAATTTATAATAAAAAATTAAGACTTTAGTAGACAAATGGACAAGATGTGAGTAGACAATGTACATAAGGGATACACAACTCATAAACAAACATGGCAAAAATCTTCAATGAGTTAATAAAAAATGCAAATGAAAACTATAATATGGTGTCATTGTCTTGACAATTATATAGCAATACAGTAAAATGGTTATGACACTGTTAAATGAAAAAGGCAGAATTCACAATTATATCTGTCATGTTTATAGTTATGCATATGGACGTGGACAGGAAGGGAACCCAAAACTTGAGTAATTTGGTTTGCTGAATTTATGAGGACACTAAAACTTAAAGTTCACTGTATTGTTAGTTCACTCTATCTTTTGGTATTTTGACATCTGAGGTCAATCCTCACCTGGCCAGTTTTGGTTTTTGTTGTTGTTGCTATTTTAAACAGAGAAATATTAATTTTTCTGTCTCTGTCACACAGTATTTTTTTCCAGAGCATTAAGTTTTGCGGTTTTGAATAATAAGACAGCACACAGGTTACAAGCACAGACTCTAGAGCCAGACTGCCCCTGTTTGAATCCCAGGTCACCATCTTACTTGACCTTGGGCAAGTTACTCAAATGGCTCAGTTTCTTCCTCTTTTATTTTTATTTTTTTTTTATAATTTTATTTATTTATTTATTTTTCCCCCAAAGCCCCAGTAGATGGTTGTATTTCATAGCTGCACATGCTTCTAGTTGCTGTATGTGGGACGCAGCCTCAGCATGGTCGGAGAGGCGCTGTGTCAGTGCGCACCCAGGATCCGAACCCGGGCTGCCAGCAGTGGAGCGCGTGCACTTAACCGCTAAGCCACAGGGCCGGCCCTCTTCCTCTTTTAAATGGGCATAATAATAATCCCTAACTTGTGTGGTTATCACAGGATTAAATGAATTAACACATTTAAAGCGCTTAGGACAGTACCTAGCACTGGACTATTACTATTAGTTATTTTCTCTCTGTCCCTCACTATTCTTTAGTTTAAAATCCTCTTGATCAGATTGAATCTCTTGCCAAACATCTTTTTCAAACTTAATAAAAATCACAGGGCTGCTTGCCAGGAGTCCCTTGTTTTGAAACTATAGTAATGGTTCAGGTAATCAAAATCTGATCTCTAATGCCAACTTATCCGACCACAGAACACAGCCAGACAAGTCAGTTTCTCCAGGCGGCAGAACAGACGGGATGGGTTGGAATCGGGAGCTAAACAGACAATGGAAGAACAGACTGTTTCGTAGGTGCTAGGAAATTCAGTCAAAACGTTATTGGACCTCTGTCATATTCCAGCTATTGTGCTAAGCCTAAAAGCAGAGCAGTAAACCAGACAGACAGAGTCATTGCTGTCGTAGAGCTTAAAGTCAAAGGCAGACACTAAATAATCACAAGTGTGAGAAGCACTACTAAGAGGTCCAGGGTTCCATGGAGCTCACAGTCAGGCAAGCAGATGTTCCAATTACATGGTCACAGTCAACAGAACACAGGTCTATTCAGCATAGGCTGTCGAGATGGGAGGCAGCACCTGGCAATAAGGAATATAGAGCAGTCTTACTCAAAAATGCACTGAGGCATGCAGGGACTCTATTAAGGAAGTCCCTGCCACCGGGCAGGTTCAAGGAGAGAACTTTAGATACTAAAAAGGGTAAGACAGCCACATCCTGAAGGGAGGTGAAAAGAATACACCACATTCTAGAAGTGCAAGTGATGCGTATGGCTGGAGCCTAGAGTGCCAGAGCACTGAGAAACCAGGCTGGGGCAGTAAGCAGGAACTAGATCTGAAAAGCGTTTGCATACCATGTGGTGGACATCTGTCAGATATTGTGCAGCCCCTGGCAGTGGGGCACGGTCAGGCTCAGTTCTTCTCTTCCCCTTTCTACCTAGTCAGAGCACAAAACTGAGCCTCAGCTGGTGGGGAGAGAGGGGTGTTCTAGCGACCATGTTAACCCGCATGGTTCAGACCCACATTCAGAAGGACTTGTAACTAGTATGACCTGCATATTTGTACCTCAGAGCACAAACAAGAAATAAGGTTCTCTCTCTCTCTCTCCCTCTCTCTTCTGCTTTTTTGGCTCTAAGTCCAACAACTTCTCCTTTTCTAATGAATAAGTAGCTCAATGTTTATTTTACTTTCTCCTTCGTACGTCTAAAGGGATTGATAATATACCCCTAATTTTTCTTGCTACGAATGGTGTTTGTTGAAGTAGAGTAGTGGTCTTAGTGGGTGGCAGCATGGAAGAAATCTCTGCTGGGAACTCTCAGTGCAAAGGGAAGAAAGACCTCTATTCCTACTGAAAAAGTAAAATATGCCCTTTTGTGTGTGTGTGTGAGGAAGATCGGCCCTGAGCTAACATCTGCCAATCCTCCTCTTTTTGCTGAGGAAGACTGGCCCTGGGCTAACATCCTTGCCCATCCTCCTCCACTTTATATGGGACACCGCCACAGCATGGCTTGACAAGCAGTGCGCCAGTGCGCGCCTGGGATCCGAACAGGCAAACCTCGGGCCGTCGCAGTGGAGCGCGCGCACCCAACCACTTGCGCCACCGGGCCGGCCCCATAAAATATGCCCTTTTATCTCATCCATGAGTTGTTTTTCTCCAACTTTGTTTCTTGGAATCATGCTGATATTCACTTTGTTGTCTTTTAAAACTATACAATTTTGGAATTATATTTGTGTTATGAACATGATGTGCTTGTACTGCATAGATTACTTTTTGTGAAATAATTTCAAATTTATAGAAAATTTGGCATTCTAATGTAAAAAAAACTTTCCTTTCTCCTTATTTGTTTATTTACCTCTGTATGGATTTGTGCATTCCTAATTTATTTAATGAGTTGTAATCTATTACTATCATTTCTTACTTTGATGCTCAAAATGACTCAGATATGGCCAGTGTGGCCCATTTCAGGCTGGCTCCTACATCCTTTGACAAGCGTCCATAATTCTTTGAGCATTTCCTGACTTTCTTGAGCAACAGGTGATCCCCAATCTTATAGTTTCTCTGACTCAACTCCGGAACCAACCATTTCCAACAAGTGCTGGTTCTTTTTAGTGGATATCGATATTTGAAAATCAAGATCTGAGCACTCAGCATGCTTATTTCTACTGGGCTGTCATTGTTTCGAAGCCCTCTCAGAGAATAGAGCAAGGAAATACATGCATGTGTAGACACACAAACATGTAGACACACGAACATACATACACATACATCTATATCTATTTCTGTATCTATCAGTGTATATATATTTTAAACTCGTTAATTTACATACCAATATTTTCAACTCCAATTCAGCACCTCACGGTTCTCTCCAGCCTCCCTCCTTCCACATTTGTAAATCCCTTCTCCAGCAGTGAGAAACCTGACTCCCAGTGTCCTCAATGTGTTTATTTATTTGCTCAGTCTCCTTGTATGTCATTGATCTGTCTACTTGCCATTTGCCTCCTCAGCCCCCAGGGACTGCCACCTCCAGAGCTCCTGCCTCTTTCAAGGGAGGAGAATGGATGGGAAGAGTGACCTAATGGGGAGGAAAGAAAGAAAGAAGGAAGGACGGAAGGAAGGAAGGGAGGGAGGCAGGGAGGGAGGGAGGGAGGGAGAGAATAATTCCATTTTAAGGCTTCTCATGTACAGATGTTAAAAAAACTAAGTGCTTATTCAAAGGGGAGGGTTCAATACTGTTTCCAAACGCCAAATGGAAAAGTAACTGGAGAGTCTGGTCAGGATTCAACTGTCTGTGCCTCTTGCAGTAACTCAAAGCTTCTGTTGAATAACAGTCTCCCACAGAGGCTGTTCTACAGACACTGTGATTATGTCTGAGAGTATTACTGCCAGTGCTACAACAGCGTCCCGATTTGGGCTCCGCAGTTATATTTCTCCTAATTCATACTCACAGGCTCATCCATGATCAACCACCACGTCACAACGGCTGTGTTAAGAGGAGCCTGCATATAGCGCCAAAACCAGCTTTCCCCGTGGAAGCATTTTTACAGAAAGCTCAGGCTCTTGGGGACTAAATATAAAGAGAAGAATACCTTTACAAGGAGTTATCAAGCCTTTATCCAGAAAAGGTCTTGGCATTCTTTTCAGAGAAAAATAGTGATCATTTCTGACTTTTTCAGGGTAGTGATGACATATAACAGGCTCTGCAATTTACAAAATTCTAATGCACACATAACTTCATTTAAGAAACAGTAGTAAACCACCTTATAGACATGCGTGAAGCATGAATATTTGATTATGCTCAGAAGACCTCAGCAGAATTCCAGTATATAAATAATATTCCTCACTTCCTTTTAGATAGAGAAGTCTTAGCAAATCCTGCGGATAATCTGAATCCCTCCTTAGAGAATCACTTATCTTTCATATAAGCCTCTTGTTTAGGCAGTACTAAGCCTTCCTCAACAACGTTACATTCAAGCTAATAACCTTTAGAAATGCTCCTTTAAAGTCCAGAAGCCAAATTTCTGGGCTAAGTCTGTCCAGTAAGGAATCGAAATGGTGCCCAACTGTCCACCAATAGTAGAATCAATAAATAAATTGCAGTATATTCAAAAGTGGAATATTATACAGCAACGAGTGAACTACAACTATGCAACAACACAAATGAATTTCACAAACAAAACCAAACATGAAAGTATACATCGTAAGATTCTTTTTTTAGAAGGTTCAAACATAGACAAAACCATTCAATGGTGTTAGAAGTCAGGACAGCAGTTACTTGTGAGTAACTAGAAGAGGGCATAAAGGAGGTTTCCAGAATTCTAATACTATTCTGTTTCTTAACCTGGCTCCTATTCATTTTGTGAAATATCATCAAGCTGTACACTTACAATTTGCATATTTTTTTTAGTATGTTAAATTCGATAAAATAAGTACACCCAAAAGACTCCTTGAGTGAAACACCATTAATCCTTAAGGATATCTAGAAGTTTTCAGAGACAAAAGGCCATGCATAGGTCACTTTCTAACATGTCCAGGAAAGGTCAGGATTTTTTATGTCCCCTGGCTGTGGCAGCAGACTTCTCCTCTGTACCAATGCCAGCTTACTCTGACTAGCCTTAGCCCTATATATTTTAATCAGGTACTGCTGAGACCATGTGGGTACCATTCTGTGGCTAGAGGACTTTTGGAGGTGAGGGAGCCTCAATGCTTACAGCTATATTTTTGAGAAAACTGACTCTCCGCAAGTCAAACTTGCTAATAAGTGATTGAGAGCCTACTCAGCATCAAGGCACCATCAAAGCCTGGCGACTACTCTTCCTGAGGAGGTGGCAAAATCCAGTCATGACAGGTGAACACCTCCAGAAGGCAGGAAAATTCAACTCTCTCCTTTAAAATACTGAATTTAAGATTAAATTCAAGCATACAGAAATCCTGAGCTCATATCCCATCTTTTAGTCTCAAGTAGCAGACGTTTTTGAAAGCCCTCCCATACCCCAAGAGATTCTTTGTCCCTTCAAAATGACATGAGCCGACAACCGCGTTTATATCTATGGGACCTAAATTGGTGGGGAAATTGGATTTTTGTTGTTTTAGAGAAAAGAAAGAAGAGAAATGAAATTTATTTATCTCTTCTTTTTTCATGAGATTCAAAAAATGTTAATCACATAAGAGTTTTTGAACTCCCACTTGGCTTTCTAGGAAGCAATTTAATCTTAAGGTAACATATACTTAACTGTTCTCTAGATCTGCACTTAATTGAGGTTTGCAGCTACTGAATATACTGCAGCAGGACTTCTCTGTCATAAGGAGTTAAAGGATAATGCTTGTTCCACTTATTCTTACCATTATTATCATCATACCTATTCACACCCCAAATCTTGCTCAACTGATTTAAAGAAACTTTCTACCTTTTTTTACTGCTATGTCATCTTTGCAGCTTTTTTCCTTTTATAATTATTTATAAATATTCCATATTCTATGCCCAATTCATAGAATTGCTACAATATCTAACTAGCAATTTTCATTTTTTCTTCATATATTTCTTCCAGCATAAATCATAACTTGCCTCACCCAAGGCAAGTTATCCAAGGCTTAGCCAAGTTATATTCTTTTATTCTTGGCAGCTGAATCTTTGAAAGAATGTCTGATAATCATTCCCAATGGTATTTTAATCAGAGCGCTCATAAAATAATCCCTATATTGGGGCAATAAGTGATTTATTTGAATTTTCTTGAATAACAAACTATATTTAGACTGGTTCCATGATCTGTGTACTTTTCCTTGAAGAGTATTTCTAGGCCTTTCTTTGCTCATCCAGTGACCAATAATATCCACAAGTGTAGCTACCACCTAAGCAACTCATGTAGTATTTTATAATCCCATAAAAATGTAAAGGAACCCTTCAGGATGTGGGTATATTTCCAAAGTTAATAGCTTAATCTAGAATGATCATTAGAAGCAGAATTTTGCTTAAGAATCACGACTTGTAATTTTTACCACTGAGAACATTTATTATCTTTTTTTCTTCCACTCTTAATTTCTCCACTGCTGCGATTTTCCCCCTCATTTGAACAGCTTCTAGCCCTTTATTCTAAGATCTTATCCTGTTTATGCTTTTCTGTACCCATCTTACTACTCAAAATCTGCAAGTAGGGTTCACCAAACTTTCTAGGTGTAACTAAGGGGGGAAATCTTGTCAAACTTGGTGCCGTCTGGTTTCGGCTCTGTATCATGCTGCTGATTCTTTATTTGTAGTTTCAAACCTTTCATAGCTCCTTCAGTCCATAACCTAACACCTTGTAGTCTCCAGGTACTTCCTACAATTGGCACAGGAAATCTCTCCTCTTTTCCTCACAGATAGTGGCTAATGGTGAACACGTTAAATGGTTTTGAAGATTTTTCAAATGGGGAAAATGATGGCACAGAAAGTTATATTGCCGGCATACTGTTCTATAGTTTATGGAATAGTTTATGCAATTGTTAGAAATAAACAACAGGCCTTTTAATTTCCAATCCCTGTGTCTGGAAAGAATTTAATAATATGGTCTTATTGTCATTATATTTAGTTTTAAGATTATCTTCTATTAATAGTAAGTGAAACTTTTCTCTCATCAATGGTAGCAATATAAAGTCTCCCTATAAAATAATACATTTAAGTAAAAATGTCATTAAAGAAAATTTAAATAAATGATAGTAAGGGTAATATGAAGACATGGCAAAAATTGTGATAATCAAATGACTGAAGTTTGGGAAACACCACTATTTGGGGAACACTGTAAAGACTGGTGTATAATGATGGCAGAGCAATTGAGATCCAAATGTCGTTGCCTCTATTCTCTGGATGGTACTTAATGATACTTCCTGTGCCTCCTTACGACATCAACCTAAGTCATAATGGCAAGAGCCAGTCCTAGACTTTCTGCTCTGCCTTAATCCAGCCGATAGCTGACTTCGCCACCCTCCTTGCTGGCTGGCATTTAGAGGAGCTGTCCTGTCTCAGGTTTGGGATGTGTTGACAGGGACCAGTCTGAGTGACAGTCTTCGAGTCCTGTAAAAATCATAAACTGTCCCAAATAAAGAAACAGGCAAGTCGGCCAGTCTCAGGAAGCATAGATTTGCATGCCACCTCACCCTTGGATCGCCAGTCTCTGAATTTCCTTTTATTGGCTCTTTCTAGAAGGCAGATGTGGCCCCTGGGGAAGTGTACAACAGTGACAGAAAGAGCACTGTGCTCTGGGAAACCCTGAAAGTCTACCAAGGGCGCTATAAGTTGGAAACTATCTTTGCTTGATATTTATGGTATTTCTGTTATAGCAAGTATACTTTTGGCTAAGAAATGATAAATATCTGAAGTGGCAGATAGTTGGAATAGTAATTTTGTCCTTGGCAAAGCCATAAGAGGAAAAACCACAAGGGGGAGAGCGGGGAGCAGGGAGAGGAAGGGGTGGGGAGATGGATACAAAGATCTGGCCCTAAACCCTTAACAACAGGGCAGAAATTAGAAGAGGAAACTCATGCTTTTGTTTAAGAACAATTTATAGGACCAGAAATTAGAACAACATTTATTAACCTTGGGAAAGTCTTAAAACTTTTATAAGCTTCAATTTTTTTATCTGAAAATAAAGACGGCAATAACTGACCTAGCTCACACCAGTTAATGTGTGGGTTGCCTGAGACAACACATAAAGCACTGGATCGTACTAGATCCTCAACAAATGTGACTTCCCCATGAAAACAAAAGAACTCAGGTAAGATCTCAGTCCTACTAGTTATGTGATCATAGGTCAGTTTATTTATTTACGGCTCAAACTTTTCCAAAGCGTATATGAGAAAGATTATAAGAATTCCAAGTA